ATGGATTTAATGAAGAAAAATATCAGATTTTTATTTAAAAAACAGGATTGCTTACAATAACAATAGTTCCAAGAGTGGAATCAGTTATCTAGGGAGAGTTGTGATCTCCTTTATGGAATCTGCTCAAGCAAAAAGCTAGTCAGCCATTTGTCATGGACATTTTTAATTTGAGTTCCTGAAGAGTTTGGATTTGATCGCATGAATGGCCCTTGTAACCCAATGGATCTATGGAAATTAGAAAGCAAGTATGATATTCAATGTGATACTTGCAGGAGAGTGGTTACCTAGCTATACTTTGTAGGAATGGCACCTTACCATGTTTCCCCCCAAAATAAGACCGTTTTATAATTTTTTTGCCACCAAAAAAGGCACCAGGTCTTATTTTGGGGGGATGTCATCATCCACTGACTAATCTCACTTGCAAGCATCACCCGGCCTCCTTTTTGCTGTCAGAGGCCTTCAGAAACTTCCTCTTCTGAGGCTGGCAAGGCTTTCCTGAAGGCCTCTGCAGCCGGGTTGATCCGGAGCTTTGTTATCAGCTACAGAGGCCTTCAGGAAAGCCTTGCCGGTTGCAGAAGAAATGGGCCAGCGAAGTGGATGTCAGAGTGTACGAGGCCTGGGTACAACTGTAGTAGGGCAGCTCTACCCCCCTATCTCCACCCTAGCTTAATTTTTACCTACAGGATCTTAATTAGGGCTTTTTTTGGGGGGGGTAGGGCTTATATTGGGTGCATGTGTAAAAATCAAGCTAGGACTTACTTTCAAGGTAGGTCATATTTTTGGAGAAACAGGGTATTAGCAAGTATAAACTGTTTTTAATCTTAATCAGCAAGTGGGGGATTTTTTTAAAAAAGGAAGAAATGGGGGAAAGCAACTCAAGTAATAGTTTAAAGTATTATTTAAAGTACAAGTAGTCCTTGACTTACAACAGTTCATTTAGTGACCATTCAAAGTTACAATGGCATTGCAAATGGTGACTTATGACCAGTTTTTACACTTATGATCATTGTGGTATCCCCATGGTCATGTGATCAAAATTCAGCCGCTTGGCAATTGACTCATATTTATGATGGTTGCAGTGTCCTGGGGTCAGCAAAGTCAATGGGGGAAGCCAGATTCACTTAACAACTGAGGTGAGAAAGGTTGTAAAATGTGGAAAACTCACTTAACAAATGTTTCACTTAGCAACATAAATTTGGGGCTCAACTGTGGTCATAAGTCAAGGACTACCTGTAGCTAGCACACAGCACCAGAAAATTTAAGAATTAAGTGGCTGAAAGGGCTCCTTGCCCCATCTAAACGTTTAAAGTTTCTTCATGCTGCTAGCCTTACAAATTGAAAGAATTATCTTTAGGTGTGAAGATGTGTGTGTTTCTTTTTCTGCCCAAGAAAAATACCTTTCCTGGTGATCTTTTAGGTGGCTTTGTATCTGATTCTAGGAAAAAAAATAACTTCATGGCTTGTGAAGAGCAGTGAAAGATTAAGTACTCCGTAAAAAACGGGAATGCCGTTTGAAGACTTCAGGAGGTAAATGCAATTGTCCATTTCCTTCCACTTCTTTGAAGAGTTCTTGCTGTCATTTTACTGCTTGGTGGTCCCCATAAATAAGTTTCTTATATATCCCGTGGCCTTCCCGAAACTGGTCTCTTGTATGTGGAGTTGGGATTACAGCCAGCATGACCAAAGACAGAGTTAAGTGGGAATGTGTTAAATTGAACAGATCCAGAGAAACCAAACTAGAGGGGAAATGCTAAATGGATTGCTAAATTTAATTCTTTCTTGAGACATATAGCCAGAGCTGGTGAATTGCTTATGGCTGACCTATCGGGTCAAAGTAAATAATTTTAACTCAGTTGGGTTCCCTTTGCTAATAGTCGTCCACCTGTTTCCAGCAATTGAACAATAACAACTTGGTCTCTAAAGCCGAGGCACAGATTTTCCTTGGTGAACTGGAGAGAGAGAGAGAACTTTATTTCGGTCATTGAGCAATAAAAATACAATCAATAAAATGAACAACACAAAATTGTTCCTTAACTGAAAGAAACATTTTTGGGGTGATAATGTAGCAAACATCTGTTACTTTTAAGAGAAATCAATTTATCATTATTATTTAACGGACAGGGCAGATAAAAACTATCTGAACACCCAAGGAATCTAAATAAAAGGGCTCTTAAATCTAAACATGAAATTACAATTTTCTCTTACCAAAGGGCCACAAGTGTATAGTAAAATTCTCCCCAAAATTAAAATCCTGGAGAGAGCTTAATTCTACTACTACCATCAGCACCAAATGTATCGTATGAAAAGAGAGGGCAAATAGGAATATTTGTCCAAATGCCTGTGACTATTTCAATCCTACTATAGGTATTAGTGATTACCTATTACAGATAATAGTAACTACCTTACTATCGGTAGTAGACTTATTTAATGATCGTTTGAAGTTGCAATGGCACTGAAAAAAAGTGACATGACAATTTTTCACTTATGACTGCTGCATTTGCAGCATATCCCCATGGCCACGTGATCAAAATTCAGACACTTGGCCACTGATTCATATTTATGATAGTTGCACTGTCCCAGAGTCATGTGATTTACGACCTTCTGATTAAGCAAAGTCAATGGAGAAGCCATTGATTCACTTAACAACCATGTTGCTAACTGAACTGCCATGTTTCACTTAACAACTGAAGTAAGAAAGGTCGTAAAATGGAGCAAAATTCACTTAACAAATGTTTCACTTAGCAGCAGAAATTTTGAACTCAGTTGTGGTCATAAGTTAAGGACTACCTGTTTAGTATTACCTGTACCTATACATACACACACACACACACACACACACTCACTCCTGTACCTATAACTTCTCTATTCAGTTAAACTTTGTAATACACAGCAGACACTTATTTTTTAAATCATTTTCAGAGTTTACTTCACACTTATTTCTTATAATTTATGGGTAAAGATACATCAAACTATATTTTGCACCGGATGAAAGACACTGTTTTGGAAACATTTCTCTTCAGTAATGCTAAAGTTCGTTAATTCATTATCTGAATTCTTTTGTAGAATTCACCTCCAAGGAATGAAACATAAATCTGTGTCAGCTCCATGATGTACAAATATAAATCTATGTCAGCTCCATGATGTACATTCAGATAGACAAGCCAAGGCATACATTCTCATGTCTTTAAAAAATATAAGGAAAACTATATTAAAGATGTAAAAATATTTTCCTCTGTTTCAAAATTATAACAAAATATCTGCCGGATAACAATAAAACATTTGCTACTGCTACGTATGTACATATGGAAAGAACGTCAAAAAAATCTGTTTTCAAGTTTTCTCTCTAAAAATAAGTATTTTCCTACTTTGTTAGACTGTAAGAACAAACACCCATCATCATTGCAATACCAGAAGCCTAACATTTATCAGCAACCATATGGTTTCGACTCTAGAAGACTTAAATGTTTAGTGTAGTTACTATAGGATTTGCAATCTTTCTCTACTTCAACAAATAACTGGCAAATCTGAGAATCAAATTCACGGTTTAACATATACAACCATTCCTCTAGTTTTTGTAAGGAATTATACATGTCATTCAAGTTAATTATCTCAGAGCAGGGCTGAAATTTTGTTTTTCATCTTAATGTTGAGATAATCTTCATTGAATCTGGGATTCAGCCGGATTTATTTTTGAATTGCATACATGGGACTGGAATTTGAATCGATGTCTACCACTATATTTATATTACCATTGATATTACAATAAATGCCTTGATTTTCTATATTGCCATAGCACTTTGGGGATCAATATTTTTTTAAAATGCTTACATTTGAATGTAGCATATCCTCTTAAACAAGAAACAATATACTCTAACTATATTTCCTGCCTAGGATTAATTCTCCCTCAAGAGAAAGAATTCCTATGTATGTGTACTTTATCATAATTCTGTTGAAGATACAGCAAAGATATAATGTCATACATGAATTTGCAAGTTTTTTGGCAAGAGATGAAAAACTTTACAACAAATCGCCCAGAAATATGCAAACTATTCCCCATTTGCTAACAATCCATCATAATACCTTACAGAAAGAATAACCTTGGAAGGGACAAGATGTCAAATATGCTATATTTTTCATATTCATCCATCTTTAAATATCCTTGATCATTTCTTTTATCAGGCATGTCCTAGAGAAATCCTGAGGATATGATGTTCCTCATTCCAAAGTTATTTAAGCATTGTAGAACAGTAATATAGTTTTCAGTATTTAATAATTATTATATAATGGATCTAGGTAATGATTGTTTCACACTTACGGTTTTATTGGATCGTTGTACACTGCCCAGTCACTTTCCGGTGAGTTGGGTGGCCACATAAATTTGATTGATAAATAAATAAATAAAAATAGCTCCAGCCCAGCTGTTTTTAAAATATGCCTCATGCATATTGTGAAGATTACCCAGATGTGTGTTGCTCAGAGTATCTTTGACAATGAAGAAGATTCAAATATATCTACCAAAGCACATTAACTAAGGTAAATGGGAGTGAAAAAATAGTGCAGTGAGGTGTAAAATAAAGTTCCATGCAAATAAATGCAAAAGAGCCCTGTGTGAAAAAAAATTGTTGTGCGGTGAGGGAAGGAAACACACCTTCATCCGTTCTCCTTACATGATTATTCTTCATTATTATTCTGTGGTACATTCCAAATTTATTAACTGCACTATTATAATTCAGGACAATCGGCTAATGTCTCCAAATCTTTTTAAATATCACTGAGTTCATTTCATAGACAGATTTCAACTGAAATTATATTTGCGCTGGTTAAATCAGAAATATGAGAGATGGCTAAACCTTTTTTTTAAAAAGAAGGAATGATCTCAGGATGCTTTAAAGCATCGACTCATAAATGTGAAGCTCTCTTAAAGCATTTTTTGCTCCACAGCAGGAATGGGTGGTGAATTTCATCAAGGGAGTGACCCTGTTCAAATATTTGCTGTGAGGCATAAACAGTTTCCTACATTTCTCTTTTACTTGTTAACCCCATCAGAGTTAATCTCTAGCTCGATTTTACAGATAATGTGAACATTTGACTATTTACTCCAGGATAAAATCATGTCACGAAGCGGAAAAGAAATCTCAGCTTTGTCAAACTGTCACATATATCCTAACATTTCAACATCATGCTGGCAATTTGTCGTTAACTGCAGGATGGACACTTGATATGACAGTAAGAACTTAAGCCTGTATTTATATCAAAACAAATGCTGATTAAGAAAATCTATGGAGGATGCAAAATCTGAAAGTTTGCAGAGTGATTCATTTTTAAAACGAATCATGCATTTTAATGTAACAGATGGTTGAATAATATGGAAGAATTGCATTAGCTGTTTTATTACAGTTTGCATGAATTAAGTGAAAAATATATTGTTCAATTTTAAAAAATCTTTACCTTATTTCCATTCTCTGCGGTGCTATTGTGCAGGAAAGATTAAAGGTCACCCTGGACCACCAATTCTGAGGGCAATAATGGAGAGAACAAATGAGGTTAAGCAGTTATTAGAGGGGTCTCAGAACTAGAACAATTTCATAAAAAATAGCCTGCAAAGTGATTGAAAAATTATCCTAATGATGGTCACAACCACTGGTTTCAAAGCCAGCCAGCCATGCGTAGAAGTGGTTGCATTGGACTGTAAAAAAGTTGGTAATTAACACCACAATTTTTACAGAAATGGGAACTTTATCGAACTTAAACAACCTCTCTAGCATAGAAGGCTCTTGAGAAAGATTGTAGATCAGGCAGTGTTGGAGGGATGCGGAGTTAAGCACCTTATCAACTTAGAATTGTTATGTTCCCACGAACATTCCAAGTCCAACCCCCTCCTGAATTCTGCTGGCCAATTTACTGTTGAACTTTGGTTGACCAGATTCTTCTGTATAGGTTTGAATAAATCATCTATGCAGCAGCTCAGTGGATGGCCCTGATTCTTTAAACCTGACAAATACCAACAAAATTATTCAAGAAAAGAAATAGGCACCAAAGTAGAGCAAAGGTAGTGCCAGTAAGGAATAACAAGGAGATTCTTGGAGACTGGATACGTTCCATGTCAGATTGTGCCAATGTGGAGGAGAAATATACATTACCAACAATATTCCTGATGTCTTTCAGCTCAACTGAGTATCAGTCAGTCTACAGCAGGGGTGTCAAACTCGCATCGTCATGGCGGCATCATGTTGACATATCGTGACTTTCTCCCTTTCGCTAAACCTGGCATGGATATGGCCGGTGAGACTTATCTGGCCCGCAGGCTGTGAGTTTGACAATCCTGGTCTACAAGAAGTCCCCATCTTATGAACACAATTTATGTTGCTGAGCAAGGTTGCTGTTGAGTCCTGTCCAATTTTTATGAACTTTTCAAAGCGAATCATTCTTCTTCTTCTTGTGCCATATCTGTCATCGGACGTTAGTGCTGCCGAGTTTTGTTCAAACCAGTCCCTTAGATTTTGAAGCCTTGATGTTCTTCTTCTGCCTCGACCTCTTTTTCCTTCAATCTTTCCTTGGAGGATTAAGTGAAGCATACTGTATTTTTCCAGCTGTCACATCACATGTCCGAAATATTCTAACTTTTGCTTTTTAATAGTTTTGATGATCTCTCTTGGCTTTCCCAGGTGGCTTATCACCACCTCATTTCTGATTTTGTCAACCCAACTTATACATTAACAGCCATCTGTAAATCCACATTTCAAATGCTTCTAGTCTCTTCAAGTGGCTTTCTGTCAGAGTCCAACTCTCTACTCTATAGAGCAGGAGAAAAAAGATGTAACATCTGACAAGCCTGATTTCCAACTATAGGCTTATGTCGTGACTGCAGAAGACCTCAGAAGAAGCGAATCATTGCTCTTATTAAATGATTCATCTGGTCATGAAATGAATGACTTGGCTTGTCAGAAACCTGGGAAGGTCACATGTGGTGAGCACTTCATCCCAGGATGCTGCAATGGCTCAACGCTCAGATGTTGATCATGTGACTGTGGGAATGCTGCAATGGTTGTAAGGTAAGTCATTTTTTTTCATTGCTGTTGTAACTTTGAGTTGTTGCTAAATGAATGGCTGTAAGTTGAGGACTACTTGAATGGATTTTGTAAAAGCATAACATAAGCAATACCCTGCTGGATAAGACCCTCAACTCAGTCCAACAGTGTTTTCACAATGGTCAACCATCTACCCAACATAAATCTTCCAGCAGATAATGTGGGTAACTTGTGTGTGTATGAAACAGACAGACAAGACACTGCTGCAGCGCAACATGCACTGGCATATTTCACTATTAGGGGATAATCCTATATTATAAATATTTTATAACACTGTAGGAATAATTCAACTTAAATAGGTCTTTATTTCAAGATTCCCAAGTATGCTTTCTCAGGTATCCATTAAACAGTCCAGACCAGACTACAGAAGTTTCATCTAAATCGGGAGACCAGAATTCAAGTATCCATCAATAATTTAATAACCACAGTTGATTTATAATACCAGGTGGGTAATTTTATATTGCACATCTACAGACAATATAAATAGTACGCCTAGCAGTACAATTAGTTTTATGGCAATACTGATCATATTTCCTAAGGATGTTTGTGTTTGGAGCTTGATGGTCAGGATTGGGTCTTTAAAAAAGATAGTGAGTAGTGGGTCAAAAATGAAAAAACAAAAGCCATTCTTGAGGAATGAGTGTTTTTTCAGAATTTTTCATCTAATAGGTTGGTTGAAAAAGGAAGTGATAAGAGAAGTAAAATTATTACGTATTTTATACACAATTGTAACATGCATTTTATACATAAGTTATGTATTTAAGATGGCCAGCTAAAAATATTTTACAAACAAATAAAAAGATTCCAAAATAGTAGCTAATTTTCAAGCTATAAGATGCTGTTTTGGCTGATGGTGTATCCACTTTTATCATTTAAGCTCCTTCTATCCTGTGCTCGTGTCAGCATGACTCTTCGCCAGCTTAAAAAAATATTGTCTGGAGCGAGACATTTGGGCAACCATTTGCAAGAGACACACAGTCCAGACTGCATGCTGCTACACCCTCCCCCTTGGTTTAAATTTATACGGCTACCCACCTGCCATGTAGAAAAACACATCTCCTCTGTAGCTGTGCCCTTCCCCCTTTCTGTGGAAGCAACTGCTGAATGTATACTTTTTGTGTCTATGTATGTATATGGCCGGATATGTATGTGATGCCTTAACTACTGCATACAACTGGGTCTCTAGCAACTGTTTATTGGTTGAATGGATCATTTAGAAAAAAAGTGTGTCTTTTTCATGTGGTCTTTTAGGCCAACATGTGTAACATTTGGAAAAGGTTGTCTTTTTGTGTGGGACTTTTTGAGTATGGATTTTAAAGTCCTCTTCAAAAACCAGAATTGTTCTAAAGTTCTTAAGAGTTTGTAAAAACTCAGAAGCTTCCAGATTGATTTACAAGTCTTCAGTTGACCTATTTAATATACCACCTATGGACTATTAGGGTTTTTCCCCCCAATGAACATCAGTGGTTTAAAATAATAAACGTTGAAATGATAAAAAGAGATACTGCAAGACAGCAGAACTAAGTGTAGAACTGAAATAGCATTACTTTGAAATTTGAGGATAATAAAGCATTAAAAAGTTTATGAATGGATGAGTAAAACTGTAGTACTTATCTTCAGTACTTATTTTCAGGGATTTTGGAAATAACCGAGGAGAGGATGGGGGGAAAAAACACTGGCGTGACCTTTTTTTTTTTGGTCCAGATGAATTCAGAAATTTTTTAAAAAGAGCATCAGATAAAAGAGATATCAAAGATGGTCAAATTACCAAGGGATAACAAAAACATTGTGATGTCCCATGAAACAACTGCAGTGAATTTTGCACATTTTGCATTTGAAAAGTCTAAAACGATGAACTTGCAGAAAACTGTGTGGCCTCATTGAAGCCACCAATCTGATATGACCATGGAAAGTGTTTGTTTATTAAATGTATTTGCTGCTTATGTCACCATTAAGAGTTGTAAATCTAATCTTACGAAGCTTCTCCTCTGGAAATATTGAATTGCTAACTAGGGCATACAAAACCTTTGCTAGACCAATACTCGAATACAGCTCATCTGTCTGGAATCCGCACTGTATATCAGACATTAATACAATTGAGTGAGTCCAGAAGTATTTCATGAGAAGAGTGCTACATTCCACTGCGCGTAACAGAATACCCTATATCACCAGACTTGAAATTTTGGGCTTGGACAATCTTGAACTACGCCGCCTACAGTTGGACTTAAGCGTAGTACACAAAATTATCTGCTACAATGTCCTACCAGCCAATGACTACTTCAGCTTCAACCACAACAATACAAGAGCACACAACAGATACAAACTCAATGTTAACCGCTCCAAACTTGATTGCAGAAAGTACGACTTCAGCAACAGAGTGGTCAATGCCTGGAATGCACTACCTAACTCTGTAGTTACATCCTCAAACCCCCACTCCTTTAACCTCAAACTATCCACTATTGACATCACCCCATTCCTAAGAGGTCTGTAAGGGGCGTGCATAAGTGCACCATTGTGCTTCCTGTCCCTGTCCTATTGTCCCCATTTAATTGTACCTATTTTCTGTATTCTTACTCATGTTTATACTTATACCTATTATTTTGTAAGCGATTGATGAATCAAATAAATAAATAAAAATTCAAGGTCACTCTGTGTGGTTTGCAGCACAAGGAGCATGAAAACTGTGTTTTGTCCTTTCTTCATACCCACTCTTCCAAGGAGAAAACATTTATGCCACCTGCCCGGTTTCAAATAGCTCTAACAATCAAACATAAAGACCATAAGATCAGCATAAAGCCCTTAAAACTTCAAAATATAATCAAACAGCTACTAAATATTATATCATATCAACTTCCCACATTCTGTTAAATTCAGCAGAAGAGGATAATCTGAATCCATTTTTCCTAAAAGAATTCAGGGAAGGGG